GGCCTTGGCTGCCTGGGACGCGTGCATAGCTGCGGTGTTCTGCGTGTGACGTTATCTGCAGAGCCCTGCGACAGTCGCACACGCAAGCCTGCATCTCAGGGGCCCAGTGTCCGCAGTGTGTTCGGTCCCGTTTTCCCCTTGCTGTGTGTCTTTCCCCTCAGACTTCAGTGCGCAGGAAGGAGCGGTCCCATCCTCACCACCTGGCATTTGGCCTTTGTTTGTTTACCGGCAGTGAGCCCCTGCCGGCCTGGTCCTGCTGTCGCTAGTCCCGCCGACCATGCCTCTCTCAGCAGTATGCTTCTACGACGTCAGGGAGCTTTGGGGCCCCTATTTCTTCAGATACATGTTCTGTCTCCCCTCCCCCACCCCTTCAGGGACCCCAGGTGCCCATCTGTTGTACTGGTGCGCTTTCCCGGGTTTGGGATTCTGTTTCTTGTTTGCGCCATTTTGATGGTTTCTGCGTCTGTCTTTGGGCTTCCCTAAGCTCTTCTTCTGTGGCTCACCAGCCACCGGTCCCACCGCGGGTGTGTTCCAGGGTAGACACTGTCATGCTCATCTCCAGAAGTTCCGGGAGAGGCTTTGCTACCTTTCATGGCGCCACCTCATAGAAAACAGTCACAGTAACTGTTTTGATGTCCTTCTCTGCGGGTTCTAACATCTGGCCGCCCTGCGCTGCTTTCTGAGCTTGCCCCTCATTGTGGGTTGTCTCCCTGCCTGTGTGAGGGCCTGGTGATCTTGACTAGATGCCAGGCCCTGTGACCGTCACCTTGCTGGGGGCTGGTGCTTTCGCACTGAGGCAAGTCCTCCTGAGCTCTCTTCTAGCAGTGACGTTACTTGGGACGCTCTGACCCTCTTGTGCCTTGCTTTTGTGATTAGTCCTTGTTTGGTGACCCAGGGGCGCTCAGTCTCAGGCTGACTACTCAAACCAAGGCAAGACTAGATTGCCCCCGGCCCCCAGCTCTCAGAGGCCTGGACAGTGTCCTCGAATCTTCTCAGGTGGTTCTCTCCCAGGGCGTGATTGTTTCCTGTATGCGTGTGCGGGCCTGTCCTCCCCCGAATGTACCCGGGGGGCTTTCCACAGCCCTGCTGGCCAGAGGGCTGGGGCGGGCCTCTCACGGTGGGCTGTCAGCCATGCTTGATTTTGTTTCTTGAGTTGTGGTGTGTGCATTTAAAGCCAGGGCTTCATCCTTTGGGTTTTGATATGCAATGGTCTTCTGTTTATATTTAAATAATTTATGTTTTCAGTTTTTGTTTTCTCTTTTAATCCAAGAATTAGTTACAAAGGTGTGTGTTCTCGCTCCCTCTTCCCCCCACCCTTGGAAAAGATAATACTGTATATTGGGGAAGAAGTTCAAACAGAACTATCCAGTGAAGAGTGATTTTTTTCCTCCATCCTGGCTCCTAATCTTCTCCAGAAACCATCGTCATTACCAGTCTCTCCCGTCTATGCTCCCAGTGCATACGTGACATGATAACACTGTGCACAGACCAGAGTGAACGAATGAATCTCTTTAAAAGTGTTTCCCAAATTGTGATGTATGACACAGCCTTCTCCTGGCATCACATATCACTACTTCTGCAGGCCTTTACAGATGCGCGCACGAGACCCCCGTGTGTGTGCAGTGTGCTCGTGTGGCTTCTGTCCCTTGCCGTTAGGCATGCCTTATAACCTTATAACCCGCATGTTACAAGGTTCCTGGTCTCTCTTGTTCTCCGTGTGGCGCCTCCTTTCTGCCCTATGCATCTATGTTCTTTATGGTCCTGACCCCTGAGGCCTTCTGTAGACCAAGAGCTTTTAGAGTGTATTAGCTAAGGAAGGGCTGAGGCTGATTCTAGAGACCGTTTCCTAATCCCTGTGGAACATCCCAGAAACATATATAGGGGTCTTAACACGAGGTCAGATAAACCAACCGTGCCCCGCCGAGTAACAAAGCGTCTTCCTGTATGGATGCTAATTTTAACCTTCTGCCCCAGGAGCCGTTGTGACGATCACCACGCCTGTGAGCATGAATGTGGACAGCCTCCAGTCTCTGTCCTCAGATGGCGCCACCCTGGCGGTACAGCAGGTCATGATGGCGGAACAGAGCGAGGACGAGTCTGTGGACAGCACGGGGGACAGTGGGGCCACGCTCGCCTCCACCCACATCAGTGGCCTGGTCCTGGAGAACAGCGACTCCCTGCAGTAGGGGGCCAGCAGGGCCCAGAACCGTGGGGCGGGCTGGCCTGACTTTTTATAGTTTGCACAGCAAACATTTTACACAGTTTTATTTCTAATATGTTTTATATGTAGATAGAGAAGAGTGCACTTTTGTATTTCATAGTATGCTTCAAGAGCATCTTTGCTGGTGCAGCGACTTCTTTCAAGTGTGCGTGTGCGTGTGTGTGCGGGTTTTTAAGGAAATTCTTTAAAGGTTTAACGCTAAAAATGTGATGAATGACAAACACCCCTGTGAGCCCCTAATTAGATTAAGGAATAGTGTTGCCATTTTCTAAAAAATTATGCAGTTTTAATTTAGTTCTGTGGTTGAAGCAGGTCTCAGTGGGCTGATTTCTTTGCGTGGCCCATGGATTTGAAAGAAGCTTCTGCATCTTAAAGCTGCCGGCTCGAGGCGGGCACCGCACAACAATAAAATAGGCGTGACTCCGTGGTGGGCTTGCGGCGGTCTGAATACGCTTAGGTTCTCGCACATTCCGTGAGCCTGTTTCATTTGCTATAGATAAAAAGAAACTCCTATTTTTACCTTGCTGGAATTATTGGATAAAAAAGCTATTTTTATAAATTCGTTATGAATTGGATTATGACTATGTTGAGGATAAAATTTCTAGAGAAGAAACAATACATGCTTATTATTTCAATTTGGAATGTTCTGAACTGACCAAATTTAGTGAACCTGCCCAAAGTTAGCTAGCATTCCATGGTTCTCTGCCATCCCAGGGTAGTGATTTATATTTACTACTATGAAAGAAACAACTGTTGAATGAAATTTTGATACCTGCAAATTTTAGTTTATATGTAAATGCTCAGATTGCATCTTACACTCGATCTGAACATAGATCTAAAGTTATGCTAAATAGGACTAGGTAAGTCAGGTGAAGTGTTGGCCAGTAATTGGTTAACAGCTCTTACCACCCGTATTTCTGTCTGATTTGAATCTGACTACAGTTAAAGGTTACTCTGCCACCTAGCTCTGTTGTTTTAGGATCTTTTAGTCAGCCATATGTTTGCATAGAATGTTTATTATAAACTAATATAAAATGTCCTCTACCCCACTGGCTCAGAGTGAGGGCCAATAACCCACGCTCAGCTCTGTTACATAATTAACATCTCCCTGAAGTGACATGGTGACCCGGACTGGGGTGACAGCGTGACGGCAGACTCTCTCGCCATTGGTCCTGGTGTCCGTTTTTTCTCCTTGTCCGTTGTTGCTTTGGAATTTCCGGAGCCCTCCCCCTCTGACTTGATCACATGGGATTTGGAATAGTTTTAGGACTTCCGTTTTCCTGGTGACAAGACGAATCAAAAGAGTAGACTGGGTTTTGTTTCCTTTGTTTTCATGTATTTGCAAGTGGGGCTCTTTCTCAGAGTGAAAACAAGCTACCTTGTTTCATGAAGTCTTTACGTGGTCTTACATGGGATGGCCACAGTTCGTGTTTCTAAAGGATAGTTTCATGTTTGGGAAAGTCGTCCGTTCTTGGGGTTCAGTAGCACTAGCTGGCTATAGACCAAGGTGACACTGAGGGATATTTTGAGCGAGGGCAGATTTTGTTCTGCAACTGATTTCCCCCCCCCCCAAAATTTATTGATTCAAGTTAATCACAGAAGAGTATTATTTCCTAGATAACTTAGAAGGCAGTTAGAAATACATGGAAATTTCTCTTAAAATATTTCAGGAACTTTAGAAAAAAACTTGACTATCAGCTCTTGGCAAGAGAATCACATTTTTAAGCAGCAGTTACATTCCTTATTTATAAACGATTTGTAATATTTTTAGTAAGTCTACTCAAGTTTAAAAGATCATTTTAACTTGACCTAAACTCTGACATTGTTGGACTTCTTGAAGTTAGGACCTGTGGAGGCCAGCCAGCCGGCTTCCTCCATCCCCAGGCCCTCCTAGCCGCCCCTGCTCTTTGGCCGAGTGCAGATGTTCTCCCAGTGTGGACTCCCAGCCGGTCACCATCTCCCTCCCCGCCCGGGGGTCGCGAGGGCTACACAGACCTCGTCAGTGTGGAGGCGGGGGGGCCGCACAGGGTCCTCCTCCCCCCCCCCCCCCCGCGCTGGCCTGAGACTCGGCCTTCCATGCCCAGTGACACCACGTGCTCCCTGGGGCTGAGGCCGGTTTTCTTAGGCTCTCAGTTCTCACTGGCTTCAGAGCATCAGGATGAGCCACTCAGAGGTGCGTCCGGGCTGGCCTGGGGACCACAGGTACTCGCACGCAGCGTGGCACACCAAGCTGTTTCGGTTCAGGGAACCGCCGCCCAGCATATTTGTTGTCTGTCTGCCTTTTATAAAAACCCCCCATTTCCAGCCCTCGGGCATTCCAGAGAATCTTTGCAAAGGGGACCGCATCGACGTCCAGTTTCTGTGAGCAGACTCGGTCCTGACTCTCCCAAGAAGGATGCTTTGGATGCGTCCTGAGACCCAGACCAAACATGCTGTCCCTGCTGTCGCGCTGTTGAGCAGGTAGCCGATGGCCGACCGCGCCTGCAGCATCCTGACTGCAGCTAGTCGAGTAAGTTCAGTGTTTGTCCCGGGTGCAGAGTGGGGGGGGCGGGGCGGGTGGGCAGCCAGCGGCGCCGGCTCGCACCCAGACCGCAGGAGCGGGGCTGCGAACACCCCGCACCCCCGGGGCGCAGGGGCCTTTTCCGCGCGGCCCGTCATCGGCCGGTCCAGTCCTTCCCTGTGGGAGCGAGCGTCAGGGTGCGCTCCTTCTAGGCAGACTCGAACATACCCGGACGGGGGGAGAAGGCCCGTCTCTGGCAGTTGGTGACAGAAATAACTCCGCAATCTGCCTTCGTTTTAGTTCTGTTTGGTCTATGAACTGACAATCTTTAAAATGTGAATACTGTAACCATATTGTTTTCTTGGATTGTTGTCTTTAAAAGGGATTTTTGTGAAGCAATTGATTTATCAAAGCAAAAAAATTAAAAATAGAAACATGCTTTATGGATGTTTTATTTTCTAAAGCGGAGGTCACCGCAAGCTGCTTTTCCATCTTAAGTAGAACATTCCAATCGTTGACAGGTTTTGCTGGTGGTATGGGGCTCGTAGTGAGCCCTGCACTTTGTTGAAGAGTTAGGCTTGTACTGCACTGGACACTCAGGTCCATTTGCATTTTCAGGACTCTTTCCTCAAATTACTTTCTTCAATTAGTCATTGGTATTCCGGGAAAAAAAATTGGAAAGTTTCTGTTTGTTTTTTATTGTAGTTTATCATAAACCTAATTATTTTGATAGTAATGAGAAAATGATTCATCAGTGAGGTATTGCCTTCCATGGTGCATGTTGTAAAGTAATGCCCAAGGTCCTTCTGGACTCGTTGAAGAGCTGCATTAAATCAATTTCAGAGAGTTTTTTCTTTGTAGTCCAGTGTGTTTTAACTCCCTCCAAACTGTTTATCCTTAGAGGCCAAAGTAAGCAGACTTAAGTATTTTTTTAAAAAGTACATCTGAAATTGTAAATCTTGCAGGCGATGAGGAGAGCTGGCTCCAAAGTATATTGTTTCAGAAAATGTTCTGTTTGGAGGGAAAATGGAGCCTGTGTGTCGTCTCTCCAGCTCCTCTAGGTCAGAATTTTAACCAGGTGAGACCTTGGCCCAGTCTTTGACCCCTTTAGGCTTCAAGTGCTTTGTTCGTAAAAGGAAGAAATTGGTTTATAAGGTTTATTCTAGCTCAAAAATAATATTTATAACTAATGCAATTCTACTCATCTATCTAGAGAGATAAGTAAATAAGTAGTGATCTAGCAAATCCTGAGAATAAGAAATATATTTAGATTAATGTTTTGCATTTTGTTCTGTTATGCAGAAGTCAGCAATAATGTATGTTATGTTTAACCCCTATGCTGTGCTTATAGGCACTCTGGGACGAAATTCTTAGCACAAATGATTTTTGCCCTTTTACAATGAGATCCTCTTGTCTTCACTAAGATCTAAGATCTCCGTACCATTTTTAAACTAAAATTTGCAAAGCTGCAGAACTGTGGCATCTAAGCCCCCGTGACGAGGAGATGAATGCTGGTCTTGGAAGCGGGCCTGCGGCCAGCTTCCTCCCAGCAGTCCACTGTCCCCAGCAGCCGGGCCCCGGGCCAGCTTCCTCCCAGCAGCGGCTCTCCCACCTCTCCCACAGTCAGTCTGTAAAGAGCTACTTTGTGTGGCTTGGTTGAACAATTTAGTATTTTATGTACAGATAGTATTTAGAAGGCATTATCTTGCACAGATGTTTCCATTTCTTATGTCATTTAAATGAACCCAAAACTTCAGCCTGCAAAAGCCACTGATGGCTTTAACATAGCTGAGGAATGCTCTTTTTTTTTTTTTTTAAAGATTTTATTTATTTATTTGAGAGAGAGAGAATGAGAGATAGAGAGCATGAGAGGGAGGAGAGTCAGAGGGAGAAGCAGACTCCCTGCCGAGCAAGGAGCCCGATGCGGGACTCGATCCTGTGACTCCAGGATCATGACCTGAGCCGAAGGCAGTCGCTTAACCAACTGAGCCACCCAGGCGCCCGCTGAGGAATGCTCTTATTGCAGCGGTTTGAAAAGGAACATTTTAAGGATGTTGATGGCTTCAGTTGCTTAGGCATTTTTTTTTGGAAATGGCTTGTGGGGAAAAATTAGGTATATTTTAAAATATGTTGCTTTCTGTTACCTCTGTTTTCTCTAGTATTAACACAGCAGTCCTGTCAGAAATAAGTAGCGAAGCCCATAAGCGTCTACACTGCGTGTTAGTGTAGACCGGAGATCTGAAGCACAGAGTTTGGTTAGAACAGAACAGTGGAGTTGAGCCAGAGAAGCCGAGAAAGGCGTGTTTCTAGGAGCGCAAGAGGCGTGTGTGGAGGACATTGGGTTGGGCCCCCAGGAGGTGATCGGGGCTTCTAGCGGAGCAGGGTCAGAGAAGTGGGGTGAGGCAGATGCCAGGGGTCACGGGGAGGTGACTGTGGATCAGCAGATGATGATGAGGGAGCTTGTCTTTGTTACCTTGTGGAAGACCTTTTAAGACCCCAAACACAGAAACGATAGGATAAAACGAGTGGATTTGGCCAGATCCAAAGGAAGCTTTTCTGTTCAGCAAAGGACACTGTGGACTGTGAACGGCTGATGATCTGAGAGGAGTGTTTTTCTGTTTTAGCATCTACCGCCGATGAGGAGTTACTGTTTAGGTTTAAGGGAAGAGTCCTGCAGATCAAAAAGAAAAAGACTGCAAATCGAGAGAAAAATGGCCAAGGATATGAACCTGCAGTCCCTGAAGGCGCGTCTGAGCGGCCAGCAAGCCTATGGAGGAGGCGCACCACGAGCCGGGCGCCGGAAACCGCTTCCTCTCTCAGGCCACAGTGGGGAAGGCAATTCTGAGTTTGTGTAGAAGTGGGAGCCTCTCTCCTGGGGTAGGAGCATCACTGGGACCCCTGCCGCGGGGTCCTTCTCACGGTCCTCCAGGGACTCCAGGAAATGGAAGAGTGGTGTGTTCTGGCCCTACCATCCCGGCCAGGGAGTTGTGACCGCTTCCTGTGCGGACCACTGCAGAGATGCTCCCGGCAGCGTTGTTCGTGGCCGCAGGGCATCCCGAAGCACCCTGGGGGTCTGTGCCAAGGGGAAGGGGAAGGCCCATGGGGTGGGGTGCACCTGCTGAGGCGGGCGCCCCCTACTGGGTGAATCTGACAGGCGCGTGTTCTTAGGTCTGGTTCGGAGGACTGCTTTATCTCCTGATGGCGGGGGCGGCGGAGGGGGTGTATCTGCTGTGCGGCTCCTAACTCAGGATGGAATGCCGGTTTATCTGGTAGAACAGTAGAGACCAAGGCAGATAGTCCTCATGCTCAGGAATGGGCACACCCCTGCCGACAGGCCATTAGCGTGTGTGAGTGAATCTTTTGAACCGACGAGCTGGGTTTAGGTTTCGCCGTTGCTTTTTCTCCTTCAGATTCCTGCAGCCAGACCCTTGTCCTTGTTTCTGCCCTGCCTTCAGCTTTCAGCAGGCCCTGCACACCTGAGCCCCTGAGGCGGTCTCCCTGCTCCCACCCCGCTCCCAGCAGAAGACCCCGGCAAGGCGGGAGGTGGTGGGCAGGTCCTGGGGGCTTCCGGGGTCAGCCTCCACAGCGGTCCTGCCCACTCGTGGTCTGCCGGCAAACTGCCTTACAGAGTGGGGGGAAGTGGCCTGGGATCAGGGCTGCATCCTGGGTCCAAAAGGTTCTCTGGGCCTCCCCAGAAGTAGTGGTCTTTATGGGTTCCTCCCCTTGTGGATTAAGGCTCTTCATGTGAGGGAACAGTCAGGGTGGTGGGCGGGGGTCATGCCTACACACCCTGAGGGGGTCTCTCCAGTCCCCTAGGCTGCTCCCCACGCCTCCTCGCCGGCCCCCGTGTGAGGGAGCGCTGTCTCCCTGGCTGGCTGTGTTCTTTGCCCTCCCTGAGCCGGTCTGCATCCCCTCCTGCCCTGGAGGGGTTTGTCCCTCTGGAGGTCAGTCATCTGGTGGCCTGGCCGCTGCAGCTCAGCCAGAGAAGAGTTAGGGTTTTGTGGGTTATCCGCTGTCCTTACTGTCGGGTGCATACTCTCGTGGCTTCTCCATCAGAAGGGGAAGCAGGGCCGCAGCATGATTAGCAAGACTTCCAGACAGGCTGACGTGGAGAAAAGAGGCAGCACTGGGTCTGCCACACCTTCCGTCAGGTGAGAAATGCACGGAACGCGCCTGCCCCAGGATACTCCGGCTACTCCGAGGCTACGTGTCTGGCCCAAGGCGTGCGTCCCGAGGCGGGTGCCGGAGACGGAGGGAGGGTGCTCGCGGCGGGTCGGGGGGCATCACGAGCTCTCTGCACCGGAGGTCCACAAGTTAAAAGTGGGCATCAGGAAGGAGAAATGGGACTTGGAAATCACTTTTACTTAGAATTTGAGAGGTGGTCTCATGGTCTTCTTCCTGTGGAGCGTTCTCAAACGCCGGCGATCCTGATTGTGTGTGTGGGAGTGTTTGTGTTCTGGGCGTGCCAGGCTCTCGGGGCCACGGCAGCATTTCCAGCCCTGCGTGCGCGTCTAGGACTTTGTCCATCAAGCGAATCCCGTGTCTGGAAGGACTTTGTCCATCAAGCGAATCCCGTGTCTGGAACCTGGCGAGGTTTAGGTAGCGCCTGGCCGGCCGTCCTGGCACCTCCTGGCTCTGTGCCGGAGAGGCTCTGACCCGCTCCGCGGCGCTTCGTCTGTACTCTCCCATCCCCACCCCCATCCGCCATGTCCCCCGGTCCCTTCCTGTCTCCTCCGTGGCCCTTGACAGTTTCTCAGGCTCCGCACACAGGCTTCATTGGTCCTCGCCTTCCTTTGAACTTGTAAACTTTGAGTGAAGCAAATAGCCGCTCAAAACAAATGCAACTTCTGATGTGAGTCAGTGCAGCAAAAATAGTCGGCGTGAATCTGTTATTATACATTACAGAAATTCTAAGTCAGTGTTACACTGCAGTTCTGGGGCGGTCAGCCTGCAGACGCCCTGCCCACCGCACCCCGCCGGGGCTCGTGATCCCCTGGCACAGCACACGCGGGCCCCCTGCCTGGCCAGCCCCGGGGGGACACACCGGGCAGCCAGAGCCTGCCTCCCGTGTGGAGGCCAGCTTTCAGGGCCCCCAGTGGGAACCAGGCGGGGGCAGAGCCACCTCTGCACAGAACCTGCCCCTGCTGTCGCGCGCACCGCCTCCCCTGAAGCCTGGCTGCCGGTCTGTGTGCCTCACCCCTGCCCAGGCCGCAGGCCCGGCCTCCCTCGCTCTCCCTGCCCCCACCCCTGGTTGTGCTGGCAAAGGGTTCAGAGGAACGGGCGGCGCCACTCTGACAAGTCCTGCCGGCCCAGGCAGCTGCTCTGTTCTCAGGACTTTGTGGCCTCTGCTGTGAGCGCGGCACCCCGACACGGTCGCCAAGACCCGTGGAAACCGTGGACTCACCCCGTCCGGAGCGCTCGCACACACGCGTCTGTGGGCAGC